AGTTTTATTCACATGGAAACACAGAGCTTGGACAAGAGCGGTGCTTCTTGATCTTAAGTAGATATGTTTAGACATGGATGGACTTGCCTGTCCACTGGCCAGGGCAGACATCCACAAGTAGAAGGCTGAGGAGCCTCCTGGGAGAGAATCACTACCAGCCTTGAGAATTCCTTCTCAGCTGAGCTGCATGGCCCTCTGAGGGTCCATGCCATTGTGTTGGGGAAAGTAAACCCACAGGGAAAACGATGCCAATTTTACTTGAATATTTGGAGACATTTTCAAGTAGTAAACAAGCACAAAAGTAACATGGAATATGAGGCAACATTCATGCAAATTTTGAAGATAAAAGGGGTCTTCAAAAATTCTTTGTTGCAGTATGTCTCTCCCAGCTCCATGCTCAACCCTGTTCCTTCTCTCCTCTGCCATAAGATGCCTTGGTTGACAACTATCCTAAGCAATCAAGAGGCCCACTTGGCCTGAAGCAGTAGAAAAGCCCTAATCATCATATGGGAAGAGGAATCCACCACTGATCTGTCTCCAGCTCCACTCTCCCATGAATTTGTGTCTGAACAGGGGGTCCATAGGCAGGAATGGGAGAAATTATTTCTCTAGCACTTTGCACAGCACTGTGGCCCCGAGAACTGTGGCTTTGAGATTGATCTGACCCAGAGGAAGAGGGGCTCACTCCTATACTCTGTCACAGAGTGTCTTGTGGGGACTCTAGTCTTTAGTGGTAAAGACTCCCTCACCTGGTGTCTTGTGGGGACTCTAGTCTTTAGTGGTAAAGACTGAAGACCGACTCCTGTTTGCAAGAGGTGGAGGTGGGGTCTGGTGGAAACTCTCACTCTGGGAAAGCGGGAGCTCAAAGGAGCAGAAGCAGCAGCTGCCAGCCCTCAAACCTCACCTGGTTTAGTTTATGAGTCTATGAGATGCCCTTTGGGGATTGCCAAGAACAGAGAGGGTGGAGTTCATGGAAAGGGCAAAGTCCTGAGTGAGCTGAGGGTGAGGGGAAAGGGGAAAGAGCCTGCAAGCACTTTGTTTATTGTGTTACTGTTTTCTTGTTCTACCTTTGTTCACACAGGCAGCTGAGGTCTGGAATCTCTTGCTTCATTTGTTCCTCCCCAGATCCCTAGGGATTTATGGTGGTTGTAATGGATTATTTTAAATGTTTCAAAAACTCTAATGGAAATCATAATACATCTGTTTTCTGATTTTTGCATACCCAGTTATGGATGTATTTGATTAATAAATCATTGGGGAAATGAATTATTTTTTAATGATATCTCTTCGGCAGACAACATATTTCAAGACAAGGGAGATTTAGAGGAAAAGTAATAAAAGATCATCTTGATGTTGAACTAGTTGGGGAGTTACACAGGTCAGAGGCTCCTTAGGTTTCTTTCCAGCCCAAAAACTCTTCCAGCAAAAGGCTACACAGTCTAGAGCTGCCAGAGGCTGGTGGTACCAGTGGTACAGCAAGAATGATAGAAGAAGAAGGATATATTATAACCATTTCTTCCCATCTCTGCAGATTCAGGAAGTCATTAGGTCAAGAGCAAGAGATGGTCTGGGTGAGAGTCACATTAGGGAGATCCAGTCTCTCTCTTCCGAGTCACTGTGCCCAAAGCAGAAATTCAAAAACACTGGAAAAACCCAGGATTAAGGGGCAGTATTTATCAAACTATAGTGTATACCAGAATCACTCAGAGGGCTTTTTAAAAAGCAGACCAATGGGCCCAACTCCGAGTTTCTGGTTCAGAGGGTCTGGGGTGAGACCAAGAATTTGCATGTCTAACACAGTCCCAGGTGATGCTGCTGCTGCTGGTCCAGGGCCCACACTTTGACACTTTTCCCCCATTTGCTCCCATCTCAGTTTCTCTCTTATGTGGCTTTTCTATCACCCTCATCATCTCCCCCACCCCAGCCCCTTCCCATCTCACTCCCTCAGTGCCTTCCACCCCTTGCGCCTCCTCCTTCCTTTTTTGTACACCAGCTCCAGCAATCTTCTAGTCCTGCCTTTCTTCCTAAACAATGGGAAACTTGATTTTCTTGAAAAGCAAAATGCAGGTGAGACAGGATGAAAAACCAGTCCATCTCCCAGGCCAGCAAGGAACACTAGTTGCAGGCCATACGGGACAGTATGGGCTGGCCAGGACTCAAGGTTCCTCACAGTTGACAGAACCACCTGGGGCTAGTGCAGCCCAGCCAAGACTCCACGTGACAATGGACAAGCTTTGCTTTCCTGTGTCCTAGGAGACAGTGGGGGAGATGGGGTCACCCAGAGGGCAACCTCCACACAGAAGTTCAGCTTCAAAGATTCTTTCCTGCAGATTTCCTAAGACTTGAGTGTGAGTGTATCAGAATCCCCTGGAGGGCTTGCTAGATGCACTTGCTGGGCCTTTCATATAAATACCTCTGACAAGGAGTGACTTCTACCAGGAACTAACTCCGATGCTTCCAGTTGGACCCCAATATTACAAGCAGGTTTTTCCCTCAAAAGTTGCCTAATTCTTCCCGTAGTCCTTCTGTCCTGAAAACAAATAGAGAGTATTGAAAGATAAAGAAAGCTGAGCATATCTGCATTAAGTTGCTGTTAACAGGCCAAGCTTGTCTGGCTGACTCCCTTTATACTTAGGGTTGGTTTTTACCCAGAAGGTTCTTTGATGCCTCATGCAAATAAATTTTGAGACAGCCTCAACAGTGGTGGACTCAGCTTGTGATCCAGTCAGGACAAGCTCCCCTTTCTCCAACACACTGTAATTTCACTGAGAAATGAGTTGAATCCTAGGGGCTTCAAGGCCACTGACTGGGCAGGCTACAGAGCTGGAGGAAGATGACTCATCCTTTCTCTTAGTATGTCCATCTTCTTCTGGGTTTGTGGGTTCCTATTGGTCCTCTCTGTAGCAAACTGTCGGGACACAGTTATGTGAAGTGTGGACTTGATTATTAGTGGCAGACTTAACTTTAAATAGCTTTTAAATAATATAGATCCTATAGCCCTAGAATCATTAGGAGTGTGAAGAGATAATCTAAATTATACAGCTGTATGTTTTGAATTCTACAAAGGAAAAACCAAACTTTCTAAGGAATTTGCACACTCAGGAGGTTGTGGGGTTCTCCGAAGGCCAATGCTGAATCACATTTGATCCTGTGACTGTGATGTAATTATTACTATCCCTTAATAGGCAAGGATCATCTAGAAGGTTATTCAGCCTGTAAGTTGCAGAGTCAACTGAATTCAGGTCACGGAAAAAGCTCAACTGCCCTCCAATGGAGCAGATAGGAGGAGGGGCCACAGAGATGGCCCTGAAGAGCAGTAGGAGGCTCCCTGGGCCCAGCCTCTTGGAACAACTTTCTGGGAAGATGAGCCCAGATCATCCCTAGCCTGGCACCCTGTGGCCCTGCCCAGTAGAAATGCATTCTTCCTGTTTCCTCCTCCTTTCCGTCCTGCCGTGCCTTGTGTGATGGGCACTCATGCACTCATGGCTCTGGCATCTGCAGTGACACAGAGCAGCATAAAGGCCTGGTCAGAAGCACAGCCAAGTTGAGGCCTGAGGCACGATGGTTTATGACTCACCTGCTGCATGAGCGTGCCTCACCTCCCTTGGCTGCTGCCCTGCTTGTTTGCTTGCTCTGTCGGAAGCTCAGCAGAGCTCTGGAGAAGCCAGTCATCAGTTTATGGAGAAGAACGAGGACTTGACTGACATCCTGGAGGCCTGGAGACCTGGGCCCCAGTTCTGGATCTGCTGCTTTTCAGCTGCTTGAACTTAGGAAGGTCACTTCACCCTGCAGGCTTCAGCTTCTCCATCTCTAAAATAATGGGGTTGCTCAAGACCCTTGTTCTTCTAAATGTCATGGGGACTAGGAACAGTGATGTTGCCTGGGAGCTTGTGAGAAACGCAAAGCTCAGGCCCTTCCTCAGACCTATTGAATCAGAATCATCATTTAACAAGATCCTCAGGCAAGCTGCTTACAGTTTGAGTAGTGCTGCTCTCTTGATCCCTGAGATTGAGTTCCTTGCTTGTGGCCTCTAATTCTGTGCCATGAGGGGTACTTGAGCATTGTTCCTGCAGCTGCTCAGTTGCAGACTAAGCCTTGCCCCAGAGGGATTTTCTCCAATTTCTACATGCATTGCCTAGGTGTGCCTTCTCAGTTTTAGCCCTTAACGGGGGTTCCCAGAAGGTTGAGGATAAATTCCAGGAAGCCCTCCTATGTGGACCTATCTTTTCTTATAGGGTTCTAAAGCAAGGACCAATAAGTAATCAGCTGGAATTGCGTTCAGTTCACTGCTCACTTCTATTATCACAGAGTTACTCTATACTCATTCTTCAAAGCAGAGGGCAGATGCCCATCCTGCAGAAGCATGCTCTGTAATTCAGGAGACAAACAGGAGTTGAACAAGTGTACTATATAGAGAACTATCGTACATACATTTAAATTTCACGCTAACATTCAGGTGAAAGAGAGAGAGGAAGATGTAGGTAATGAGAAATTTCCTGGAGTGAGTGTGATGTGGGAGGTTGGAATCTGCGGCTGCTGCTCAGCTAATCTCAGTTCCTCAGCTCTCTCAGATGGGAACATATGCTATAGGCTGAGTGCGATCCTAGTTTTTCAAGATTTGCATATTTTGAACAATGCTGCTGCTTTGAAATAAAAGCCAGCTATTGCACTTGGTTCTCAGCCAAAGAAACAGAAATCTGTTCCATTTCTAGAACAAAAAAACCAACTGTGTTGGTCTCATGAAAAGAAGTTATGTGGCCTTCAACACAATGTCTTCCTAAGGAAATGTTCAGAGTGATTTTGATTATATGTGACTTTTCTTTCTGTGCTAACATTAGAACTTCTAGTAAAAGGAAATGCTTTCTCACTGTATGTAGTGAGGTCAGGAACACAAAGAAATTTTTAAAGGGGAAAATCAATAGGATTATAAATGATGATGGTCAAGGAAAGTTCTGAGTAGGAGGCAATCTTTCTTCTTCATTTTTATGATATATTTTCAGGTTTTCGAGTCCAGCCGAATTCTGAGAAGCCAGGCTAGTGGCTGAGCACAGAACTTCCAAAAGATTCCATAGCATCAGGATAACCATATACTGTCTGCATCATGTCGGCTTCTATGCATTCCTTCCAGTAAGTACTGTACCGAATGTAGAATTCCAAGATTTGCATAGAAGCGGGCTTAACTATTGGAAAGAGGATAATAAAACTGGGAGTTTGAAAACTGTTCTGAGACCATGTAGACACAGAAAAGTGTTATATCATTTTTTAACAAAATGCCAAAACGAATTCTTTATTTAGGTAACTACCTCATACCATAAAAGATAGGAGACAGCTTATATGAAACACATACACTTTTAGAGTAAAAAGTACAAAATTAGGCCAGAGGAGATATAAATTAGTGGAGCAGGTCAAGCACAGGTAATAAACATAAGCACGAGCCCATCTGATTAGCCTCTGAAGGTTGACCCTCATAATTGCTGTAATTAGGCCATATTTGACAAGATTCAATTAAATTAAAATAAAAATAGAGACCTGAATGACACAGGGACAGCATAGAAGAGGCCTTGCTTGTCAGAAAAATGTCCAGATGGTTTCAGTTGACTAATAGCTTAATGTGAGCCACCGGGGAGGCTGGCTGTGCAAATGGGTGGGGCTGTGTTAATAGTACTCAGTGTCCAGCACCGAGGAGGGTTGGCCTCTCCCACACAGCATTGGCGATGCATCTGTTTTTGCAGGCAGCATATTGAAATCTGCTACTGTGTGCCAACTGGATGATACCAGAGATGGATAAGGTGGAGCCCTCCAGGGGCTCTCATAGTCTGTTCAAAAGCTGAAGAGGGGTCATAGGAACAGTACTGTGTGATATGTGCTTGCAGGAAAATCCCGTGTGGACTTTTGTGCTTAGTTCCAGTTGTTAGATTTTAAAAGGATTTTGATAGAGGAGCAGCAGGAGACAGGACTTCTTTTTGGCTGTCTAAGCCCGCAGCAGGGTTGCTGCCATAAAATCTCCAGTGCATAACTTTAGGGCTTCCCAGGCCTTCCTAAAACAATGGGGGTGCCAGCAGTTCCAACAGTGGCCTGGTGCAGGGGTGGGTGCTGAACTTTGATGAAGCCTGAAATCTTGCAGAAGCCTGGCATCCAGGGCCATTCATGGTTATCCCTGTGGCTGCTTTGAAAGCCTTCACCTCACAGCCCCTGGTTCCTCCTGGACATTGTTAAACAATGGGCTGCAAAGAGAGGTATCTTTTTGCTTTGCTGCTTCTCCATGAGAAGGGACCTGTGTTGAATAAATGAAGATGAAATGAATCAGCCCAAGACTTGAATTCATCGTTTCAAGCCTGTGTGTGGTGAAACAAGCATGGTTCTTGGAGTTGGATGGACTTAGGTTTAAATTCTGGAGCTGCCCTTCAACCGCATCATTTCTGTGAGTTAATTGTGAAATCACTTTGAGACTCAGTTTCCCACCTGTAAAATGGAAATTCGAATCTTTAACTCATGAGTTGTGAACATCAAATAAGATCATAAAATAAGTATTTTGCCAAATAAATACCGAGGGGCTCATCAAATCTTACTTCCCTCTCTCCAGCCTTCCTTGCAGGCAAAGTTAATCTCTCCCTGGACATTGGGTTCCACTCCCACCTCCACCTTGAACTTGTCCAGACATCCATCTGTTTTTGTTCCTAACTTCAATATCTTCTTTTCCTTTCTATTGACTCCTCTCTTCCATTTACCATCCTGTTCAATTTTCTGTATTCCTTCCTCTAAAAAAACCATCAGAGCCTTACATCGGTCATTTCATCATCAAGTATTTTGAAGACTAATCTGCATTCCTCATACATCTTAGCAGCCACTCTGTAAGTAGTACTAGTCTCATTTTTGTCCCCACCATTTATGATAAAGGCTTATTGCCAAGTCCAATAAACTTTCCTCAGGCCATAACCTTCTTGACAGCTCTGAGGCATTTGACGGTCAGTTCCCCCCACTCTTGATATCCTGTCTTCCTTCATCCTCTTTGCCACCTGCCTGGTGTACCTCCCTTGTTATTCCTGAGGACGTCTCTTTGGGCTCCCCAATCTGCCTTCCTTCTCCCATTTCCCAAAAGCAAATATGGCTTAGGGTTCTGATTACGGCTTCTATGAAAAGTAACCATGGCTAGGCCAGCAGTCAGCAAACTATTTCTGTAAAAGGCCAAATAGTAAGTATTTTAGGCACAGCGGCCCCAATGGTCTCCATTGCAGTTACTCAACTTTGTCATTATAGCATAAAGCAGCCATACATGAATAAATAATCTTGGCCATGTTCCAATAAAACTACTTATATAAACAGAAACAACTTTGGCCCATGCGCCATAGCTTGCCAACCCCAAGTCTGGTGGAAAGGGTATGAACAATAGGAGCCAATACATCGAGTTTCACAATCTGGCTTCATCACTCCCTGGTTCCATTATGTTGGACAAGCTACTTAACCTCTATGCTCCTGACTATGCTTATCTGTAAAAGGCGAATAATAATAATAACTAATAATAATAATAATATTTTCTTCACATCGTTGTGGGTGGGATAATGTACAGTGCTTCTTTCAGAGAATTTCAGGGTTCCTTTCTCTACCTTTCTTCCTTTCTTCCATTCCCCATTTTCCCACACTGTGTTTACTTCCATTTTCTCTCTACCTTCTCACCCTGTGCAATCTCATCCACACTCATATCTACAGCCCCTACCTTCATCTCCATGCCTGATCTCCCTTCTGAGTTTAAAATCTGCACATTCAATGCCAATTGGTTAGTTCTGCTCATAAATACTGATACTGGACATCGCTTGTAAAATTCTTCATCTTTTAGCAGGAAATGAAACCAGACATCTCTTGCAGAGTTCTTAATCTTTTTAGTAAACCTAGTTAAGTTTTCTTCCCTCCTTTCTTTTAGAAAAAGACCCTCTCCCTCAAATCCCGATATTGCCCTGAAACTGGTGACTCAGATCCTCTGGCTATTGATAAGGTTCATCAGCCCATTGCTAACAGAAATAATGTTAGGCCAGACAGAGCCCTTAGAGTCTGAAAGGGGAGGGGACTTTAGGCCAAAGGTCTTTTCTTTACTCTTTAAGAAATATATTAACCAAGCCTGTTTCCCTTTACTCGCTTAATAGGCAAATCAATAATAGAAATTAATAGATGTATGATTTAAATAACAAGTTTGTATCTTTTCCTTGTCTAGGGACTGAGGCGGCACTTCAGCAGAAAATCCAAGATCCCGACTTGACTAAGGCAGAGGAAGAAAGAGCTCCATGAAATCCCAATAGGCAGGGCCTATGACCCTCAGCAGTAAGCAGATACAGAAGAGACCTCGCATCTCTTAACATCCATACTAATAAAAAGGGGCTTCATGGCTCTTAGAAAAGAGTTAGGCAGGAAAGTTAGGGGGTTTCAGGTCTGCATGCAAAAACACTGAAGTCATCCTATCCTAGAAGTAGTCCACTCTAATCCACCCACAATTAAGCAAACCAGAAGGTATTTTTAGGCTAAAAGTAACTCATACAAAGAAATAAGTAGGCAGAGAATTAGGTACCAGTTTAAGCCAGTCACTCACACCTGCGCAATGAAGACTCAAAGGACTTCAACTCACCTGAGTCTCATTATACCATCATTATAATATGATGCATATGCCCAGTAGTTCATTAATATCATTATAACAGACTGAATTCTGGGAATGGACATGCGCAGAAAGCAAATGATGAGTCACTGAGTCCTGTCAATCTTAATTGTCAATCAAAGAAGCCCACCCCTCTAAGAAAAGTAACCACTCACAGCAAAGAGAGAAAAAAACCCTAAAGGCTTTGTTACCAGGCTTTTTGAGCCACGCTTCTCTTGCTCGGGCCCGCTTCCACATCTAGAAGTGTACTTTCCCTTCTAATAAAGCTTTTCTTTTCTGCTGTATTTCGGTGTCTTGTTCAATTTTTTATTCAAGACATCAAGAACTTGGACAATGCACCGAGAGAGGATCCCCACTCTCCGGTAACAATACCATTTGCATCTCAAATTCTGCATGTGCAAAGGAAAACACATCATTTTAACCAAACCTGTGCCTTCTCCTGACCACCCTCATTCCAGGGATGGCATTGCTTTCTGAAGCCTTTGACACCATCATTCCCCTGCAGGAGACCAGGACGGGGCTTCCACTGGTCTTGTCTGTTCTCAACTCACGCTCTCTCGTCCTTCTCTCCTCTCCATGGTCATCATTTTAGTTCAGTCTCTTATCACCTGCCACCTGAACTTTCTGAACGGTCTCCCTATCTCTGTGCCACTTCTCTCCAATCCATTCTGCACTTAAATACCAAGTTATTCTTCCTCAAGCAAAGCCTAGTCCTATAACCCTCCAGTCCCTACAGTTATCAAAGGATCCTCCTTGCTTTCCAAATGTCAGAATCCTCATTTTCCTTCGAAGTCCTCCAGTAACTGCTGTCATGTGCCTGCTCACTCTCTCTCTCTCTCTCTCTCTCTCTCTCTCTCTCTCTGGTTTTTTTTTTTTTTGACTCTCTTTAATTCTTTTCATCTGAGGGAAGAGCCCTTCCCTCAGGCTCTTCCCAAATGCTTTACATGCCTATCTTGTTCTTACCTGTTCCTCAGGACCCAGTCCCTTCCCCATCCAGTGGGAGGATCTCTTCCTCATCTTGGCCTTCAGAGTTCAGTGCAAGGCTTATCTCAGGACATGAGTTTTCCATTTTCCTTGCACTTTTGTGAGATGGTGCATACTTACTTGCTTTCTCTTTCTCTCTGGATTACAAATTCCTCCACGGATTAGAGAAATGTTTGGCTCTCCACACAGCCCCAGCATGCTGGTTTTTAACCTGGTTCCCCTTGGAGCAGGCTTTATAGCTCCCTGGGTCCCCTTTATGTGCAGAGAAGAGAGCCTGCGTGTGGGAAAAAGTGGATGCTGAGGAACAAGCCTCACTTTCCAGAGCTTGGAGATGTGAGCCTTCTATGCCTTTCAGCTTTGATTACTGGGGAGTGGTGTGTTTATGTGAGTGTGTGTTTGGCACGTGTGTAGCAGATGTGAAGGTATATGTGTGTGTGAAGAGGGCGGATGGAAAGAGGCTATGTGAATGTGTGGTTTTATGTGCGCGGGTGTATTGGCGTGTGCATGAGTATGTGTATGAAAAAGGGGAGGGATGCATGTATGTGGGGTTTTGATATATATGTAGGTGTAGGTGAGGAGAATATGAGTATGTAGTGGATCTGCGCACAGAAAGCATATGTATTGGGTGTGTGGGGTGTGTGTGGGCAATGGGAGGGTCATTTAGCTGGTAAGGAACAAAACTGGATTCAAATCAGATAGTCTGGGACTTGGCCTGTGCTCTTCCTCTCTGAGCATGTGGGGTGTGTGTGCGTATGTTTGTGGGAGTGTGCATGTGTTTATGAGGTATATGTGAAGGGAATATAGGTGCGTGTATATGAGGGGGAATATGTGTGGAGGGAGGGAGTTGATATGTGTACGGTGTATGTGGGTGTGTGTATTTGTGGGGAGTGTAATCTTACACTCTCTTGTTATAGGACAAAAGTCCTCACCTGACTTCGCCAGGGAACTTTATCTGCAAGAAATACCCAGCAAGTGGAACACAGAGCAAACAAAGCTTCAGAAAATATAGCGACTAAATGATAAAATCAGACGGCATAATGTCTCGCTTGGTACGCAGTCGGGCTATAAAAACAAACCAATCATTCCTGAGACTCCTGGGGGCCTCTGAGGTTTAATGGCCAGGTAGTCTCCTGGGAACCTTGCAAGGCCGAGGGCTGTGGGGAGCCAGCCCCTGCCTTGTCCTTACTTGAGTTCTGAACCACAGTGGTCTCCAACATGTTTGGCACCAGAGACTGATGCTCCTACGAGAATCTAATGCCTGATGATCTGAGGTGGAGCTGAGGCAGTGATGCTAGTGCAGGGGAGTGGCTGCAAATACAGAAGAAGCTTCACTTGCTCACCCCTCCTTCTCACTTTTGGCTGTGCGGCCCGGTTCCTAACAGGCCACAGACGGGTACCAGTCCACAGCCCAGGGGTTAGGGACTCCTGCTGTACCAGATTTCATGCCAGGGATGTAATCTGCTTATCTCTGAGGTAAGGTGGTGGGGCGTCTTAGCAAACTAGACTCTGAGACTCTGAAGGTCGAGCTTGGAATAGTAGCATCAGACTCTGAATTCAAGGAGCCTGTGTTCTTTCCTTTTACTCCACTCTGAGAACTGGAGAACTGGCAGAGCCCATAAATCATGAATATAGTCAGAGAGTACACCCAGCCCAAAGGTCACAGAAGATAAGGGGACTGAGACAAGTTGTTTTCAGAACTATCTTTTTGCATCAGAACTTGCATTCACATGAAGCCTTATGTGAAAGTTCAGTAGATAAAAACACGGAAAACCAAGCTGTTCTGGGTGCACGTGTGTGTTATGGGTGGACAGGGTGCTGGATTCCTGCCTGCTCACTCTCTCTCCACTCCAACCCCGTCAGGGGCCTTCACAGAGCACGGTTTACAATCTCTCCTGAGGACCAAATCTCCAACTCTAAACAGAAGTAAAATGACTTTCCCAGGGTCAAATAGCGTGTGGTGGACAATCCCTACAGGCGAGCAGACCCCTGAACACCAGGTTCTAGCCTACAACAATCTGTCACTCTAGGCCAGCCCCAGACATTGCAGGGGATGGGGGTGTGGGGGATTCTAGAAAACTAGGCCAGCTGGTTTTGAGGATGCTGTGGAACACAGATTTGGGGACTGAAATGGTGAAAGTGACATTTACATAATTGCATTTAATGGAGAATACAATGGATCTCACAGCTTTTGAAGTCTCTCTGAGCCTAGACAAAAGTCTGATGTTCTAGGACAGTTCTCACTCTCATATCTCCTGAAAAATCTTAAATCCGTGCATTGTCTTAAGATGGATACAGACTGCTTTAGGGATACCAAGCCCGGAGGACTGTCTCACCATTCTATAATGCACCAGCTACCTGCATGTGACAGAGGTTTATTTAATCATCACCGATACAGTGCTGTACACATATTAACCCACTTAATCTGGGCAACATCCTTGTGAGTTACATGTTATTATTAGCTTCATCTCTGAAATAGGGGTTATTATTAGCACTATCTCCATTTTGCAGATTTGGAAATTAGGGCATAGAGAGGGTAATTTAGCTGGTAAGGAACAAAACTGGATTCAAATCAGATAGTCTGGGACTTGGCCTGTGCTCTTCCTCACTGGCCTATTGAACTTTTCAATGAGGGAGAGATGTGCAGGGCAAGGAGCCCCACACTGAGACCCTGTGTTGTTGGGGCAAATGACTTAGCTACCAAAATGGGCTTGAATTGGTAATCATCATCATCATCATCATCATCATCATCATCATCATCATCTTCCTGCTTACATCTCTTTAATAGCTTCTTATGGTTCTTAAAATAAAGACCAATATCCTTCAGAGGGCCTTCAAGGCTCTGCCTGATCTAGCATCTGCCTATAGCAGGGCCCTAACCCTCTCCTGCACTTGCCCTCTGCCCTTCAATCTCCTTGCTGTCTTTTATTTCCTGCTACCCCAGGACTTTTCCTCAAGCCATTGCCTCTCCCTGAAAGAATCCACTTTCTGGGTTAGTTCATTGAATGTTCCCATGGAGGGATGTTCCCATCTTCCTAGTCTTCACCTGACTCTGTTACTATACCTCTGTTAGTGAGAGTATTTGCTTAATGCCTGTCTCTCACCTGATGGGAAACTTCCAGAGGGTAGAGATCTTTTGTGTCTTATTCTTCATGGCATTCCCAGTGCCTTGTGCAGTGCCTGACACATCCTTGTGAATGTGTGGGTCCCTTCTTGCTTTGACATTTCATGATGCTAACTATAAAGTGACCGTCACCACTACCAATTTGAGGTACACCAAGGTACTTCCAGTTAGGACTCTGGGTGAGTTTACTCACCCTATATTATATGTTTAGTAACAATACTTGACATGAGTAAGAACCACATTGCTTGCAGAGAGCCTCTTCGTACCTTACCTTTTTCTGATCCTTGCAACAACAACAAGGGCAGTAATACTAACCTCATTTTATAGATGAGAATACTGAGGCTCAGGGTATCATCAGTCTGTCCAGTGTCACCCAGTGAACAAGTGGAGCTGCTCAGAGTGGGACTCAGGAGCTCTGACTTCTCATCTTTTTCTTTCATCTGCCAGGGACAGGTTCACCTCAGCCTACTGAAACCACTTTAAATTGCTGTTCTAGTCTCTCAGTTCTGAGAGTCAGACAGAATTCCCCAGAAAAGACACGGTGATTATTTTCAATCCAGTACTGACCTTTGATCTTACACCCAGCACTCAAAAGGGAGTGCCCGACTGTGCCTGAGTGCCAGTCCCTGCCTACCTGAAGAGGAGGGGATGATGGTCTTAAACCAACCAGGGCTTTGATTTCAGTTCCCTGGGAACAGCTGCCCCTCTCTAATTCAGGGTTTTAGGGGCCACACCAGCTCTATC